CTAATTTTTGTCAAAGTTTATATCTGCTAATGTTTATAAAAAAATTTGCGACCACACTGTATTACGCTAATACAGTGTGGTCGCAAATTTTTGTCAAATTGCAACAAAAAAAAATAAAATTTATAAACTTTAAATATATATAATTTTATAAATATTATTTATATTTTACTCTATACTTTTAAAAAATATAACTAAGCAACGCCAATGCAACATAAAGTGCATTATTAGATATTCTTTATAATTTAAAATATCAAAAAATGGCCTACATAAAATACTCTTTTCTTGCTTTTTTTACCGGCAAAATTTATTATTGTATCATCATATCGCGAGGTTAGAATTATTTTGTTCTATCTCCATATTTTTTTGTTTCGAGATAAAACGACTTAAAAAACAAAAACTTTAGGAGACGGCATATAAAAATATTTTTATTACTTATGTTTTCTCCAAAACTTTTTTGATTTTAACTTTTTTTTTTTAATATAGTAGAAAAACATTATTTTGAGGTACATTACACAATTAATATCTCATTTTTTTCAAAAAGTGGAGATAGAACAAAATGATTATAACCTCGCGATATGAAAGAGTCTTAGCCAACTCATTTTTTACTGAAAACATCATGAGATCCGAACGACGTTTTTGTCCCATAGTGGCCCTACAATAATTCTTTATCAATTTTAGTTTACTAAAGGATTGTTCACCCTCTGCAACAGATACTGGCATTGTTTTAAAAATTCGAATTAAGATGCATACATATAGAAAAATAGGCTGCAGACTCTTTGAATGTATTTGGTTAAAAAGGCTCAATGAGTTTCTAGGAATAAAAAACAAAGATTCCTTCAAACAATTAAGATGCAAAATTTCTTGTATAAAGTCGTCTTCTTTGGCATCATTAGCGTAGAACTGTGCTAATTCACGAGCTTTGATCTCTTGAGAATCTGGTTCCAGGTCTTTCAGCCAGATGAATGAGAACCTTGAAGAAACACTCTTTACCATGTCAAATCTTGACTGAATTTGATAATTAAAATGATCAAGAGCTCGGGGCTCTGATAGCAGAGAGCTGCATTTTCAAGTTCATTGTGATACCGTTTCACTCTCTTCTTTCGTTTTACCAAAAATTCTGTTTCAAAGCCTAGAGGACCAAGAGGAGCTTTCGATTCAGTCAAAATATTATTTCATGATGAGCGGATGCAGCCTAGATCGCTTATTAGCTGTTGAATTAGAATAACTTCATCATCTATTGTTAGTGAAGTTGCCTGGAACAAACGGCTTACTTAATCTACTACTTGAAGAACTTTACATCAAAAGGTCAGAAGCACAACAGTCTCAAAGGATTTAAAAAAATTTATCAAAGACTTAACTTGATTTAGCATTTACTTATTAAAATATTTTAACTTTGTTTTACTTTTACTTTTTTTATTTTTTATATCTTTAAAATAGCTTTTTAATTTATCCTTTTTTTTTCTTTTTTCTTTTCGTTTTTCACCTTTAAATAAGCAGATTTGCCATTTGAGATGCAATTGCATAGAGTGACATTGAAATATGCACTTTAATACTTTCGTGAGATTATATGCCAAAAGGTAATATTATGCATTTATTTATTTTTAATATTATGTAATATTATGCATTTATTATTATTATTATTTCATATTATGCATATATACAAAAATAGTTTTCTCTAAAAGAAAACTCAATGCACTAAACACAATAATCCGTAAACATGAAAGTCGTCATTGTAAATTAATTAAACTTCTAATTTATTTAATAAAGTTATGCTATAAAAACATCATATTAAATATCACAAAACATTAAAATTAAAAGTTAAACATTGTATAAACACTTTAAAAAAAAAAAATTTTAATCATTTTTCGGCGCCCATATTGTCTTGGCGCCCGGGGCACGTATGCCCCTTTTGCCTCCCCCCCCGACTCTCTCGGCAAACCCTGTATATTGTATATATTTAAATATGATCTGTATTTTAGATATCATTTAAATAAAATTTGTATTATAAGATATCAGAAAATAATTTAATTGGAGAAATTGATTGCCCTTCCAATATTTTAAAGTCAAGAAATCGTATATATGGAAATTTGATTGAGAAGTCGCTGATGGATTTTTCAAAATTATGTAAGGCAAGGCAGATGTTAGGAAGATATCATTTTTTATATCTTATAGAATTGGGTAACATTCCAAGATCAAGTGATGTTATTAAAGAAATCTCAATTGAAGTTTGTCAATTATGGAATAAAATGATAATACCATGTTTTACGGAAAAAATCTGAGCAAAAAAAATAGCAGGCTTCATTTTTTAAATCTGAAAAATGAAGCCTGCTATTCAAAATTATAAATTTGTTATCAAATATTTACAAAGTAAAAATATAAAGAAAATTACTATAAATAGCTGAGATAAACTATTTGACTTATTGCCCAAATATGCTAAATTTAAAAATCTGGAAGAAAAACTCTTTTATGAACTTCAGACATCTTCCAATGGGATTAAAGGTCAGTGCAGTATTGTGACAGAGCCTATTACAACACATCCGCGAGACCTGCCACCTAAAAGAACTTGAAACAAATTATAGTCAATCTTTTGATGATACAGAGAATTCTAGTAGTGAAAGTTCAAAGATAATAGTAGAAGTGATGATTACACAATCCCATTTAGACGTGCAAAGATCACCGGTAAAATAGTAGCTCAGATATCTGAAAAAAAGGGAATCCAGTAAGTTGTACTCAATGCCGTTGGTGACATCGATTTTCAGATCGGCAGTCCAAAAAGCAATTACAACACTCGTGCATGAACTATGCTTGATTCGGTCTTATATAGATTCTTCTGAAGAAATTTGGTGCTCACATTTTGATGATAAGAGCATAGACAAACAACATTATTATAGCACTTGCATTTCAAGTCTAAATCTTTGGTAATATCTTTGAAAAAATTAGAAAAAGGCAACTCTGTTTCTATTTATAACATGTTACACAGTATTATTTTGGAACTTAATTTATTAAATAAAATTTAGTTGTAATATGTGACACCACTGCAGTAAATATAGGTTCTAAAAATGGAGTAATTAAACGTTTGACAAAAATTATTTCAGGTTTAGTGCACCATCTTTGTCGATTTTATGTTCTCTACCTGATTCTTAAACATTTTATGAACTCAAAGTTTGATTCTTTATCAACACCGCCTAATATTATTTACAGATTCATTAATGAGTTGATTAGTAACTACCATGATTTAATTGAAAAATACAAATCTAACGGGCCAGTTATTAAAAGTAAAAAATATGGCAGGAATGATTACAATGGGCTGGATTTGTTATGTAAAGGATACAAGTCTTATTGAGACACAATGAATTTACCCGCGATTCATTTTTCTAAACCAGGGTTTTTTTCAAATGCTCAATGAAATTCAAGAGCTATCTATTGCTTGAAATATATGCTTTTGACAAAAAAAGAATCAATAATAGAGGCGTGCAATTTATTGTAGATCACTAGGCTAAGCCATGCTTCTCTTGCAGAAGAAATGTTGACGATATAACAAAGTTAAAATTGGCATTAATAATTTTTTTTTTTTTTTTAGGTGCCTCAAGAAAACCTAATAGTCTCGTCACAGAGCACCGTGGAAGTGCATTTAACCAGGAAGTTCACGCATCCATACCGTGACGCGAAAATCGTCACAGTAAGGAAGGAGACGTGAACTAAAAAAAACTAGTTAATGCCAATTTTAACTTTGTTTAATTTTAACTGGTAACTGCCTGGAGTGTTTGGAAAGACACTTTAATTTTTGGAACTATTGCCCATGAGACATTTATTACACAAATAAAGCGTACGAAAGGTCTCTTGCGGAAATTGAATTAATTCTTCAAAGAAACGTCATCAACTTAGAGGCCAAATTTCTGAGACACTGTAGTAAACTTTAATCTGCCTAAGTGTGTTATTGTAATAAAACAATTTATTGTTTGAACTATATTTACTTCCATGACGCAATTTTAAAAGACTTATAACTAAAAATTTAGAACACAACAAACATTATCTTTACCCCAAGTTACATAAACTTTTATGCATAGTTTGTAAGCATGGAGATTAGCCTCGGTAGACAATTTGTATGACCTGCAAATATGGGAGCGTTTTTCAAATTTAGGGGTCCTTTTCCAAATATAATGATTTTTTTTTAGTAATACATCTAGTAATGGAAGGTTTTTAAGATTTTAACGCAATAATGAAAAGTTGGAGCGAGGGGGCTCTGACCTTTTAGCCACAACACTGTTTGAAAGGTATTTTCATCCCTATGTAATTTTGTTACTTTGTCTTTTTGATTAATTTTAGTTTATAAAAGTCATTCCTTTTAAAAACAAGACTTTTCAAACTGTCGCAAGTTGATTTAATAACTTGAATTTTGACAAATTTTATCATTTCGAAAAAATGAGTTTGCGCAGAAGGTTTTTGAATCTGTTACGGTTAAAATTATTTTTAAAATACTTTTTATAACATTTCTTTATCGGTAGTAATAGGGCAAATTGATTTTAAGAAAAAAGTGTAAAAAATTGCTACCCCTAGTCTTCATATTCCAAATGATGCGACTATTTCGGTCAAATTGGACTGCCCTATTCCAATCATATCAATTGATAATTATTTAAAAAATCCTTTGAGGGACTAATAGTGAGGTAAGTTCCCACGACACACTTTGATTAAATTTAATATATAGAATATGAGTAATATAACATAATTTTTTTTTTCAGGGAGGGGTACAAAAACAAACAACTGAAACTAATGTGGAAGTACCCAATCAGCTACTGAATGATGTGCAAAAACAGAAAAATGTCATTCATGTGAAAAATTTCAACAAAAATGGTTAAATTAAGAACGAATTTTGTTTTAAAAAATAGAGAGAGAGAAGGGAGGGGGTCCCAAATTTATGACAAATTTTTTAATGTGACAAAGGAGGAGGGGGGGGGGGTTTAAAATTGTCTTAAAAATGGTGACGTTCTTTATGGACAGCCCTCAGGTGTATTTAATGCGCTAGAAAAAAACTGTATCAATTACCGTTTCTTAGCTGGTACTTCGTGCAACATCCCGTATAATATACAAAAAAATATACGGTAATCTTATATCTATTTGTTGAAAATTATATGAGAAATAAAGTTTAACAATATATTTTTAAAAAACATTGGCATAAAATGAGCGATGAAGCTATACGTGATTATATTGCAACAAGCAATGATGATAAAAGCATATATAAAGTTGATGAAGGAAGATATCATTTATATTCATGCGGTGGTTGCCCTTTTGCAAACATGTAAGTGTAGATAAAAACTTTTTTAATGATGTTTGTTTAAACATTTAAGTAAAAACTTTTTTTACTTTTCAGGGCAACTATTGTGCTTGCACTAAAAGGTCTTGAAAAAGTAGTATCTGTTAGTTTAGTTGATCCAGTATTTGATGCTGAAACTGGGTGGAGGTTTGCATCAGAAGTTAATGGTTGTACAGACAATGTGTGTGGTAAAGTATACTTAAAAGATATTTATGAAATGTCACATCCGGATTATAAAGGGTTAACATCTTTAGGGTACAGTAAACAAACCAAAATTCCTATTCTTTTTGACAAACAAACTAATAAAATAGTTAATAATGACTGCATGGATATAATGAAAATGCTCAACACATGTTTTAATCAGTTTTTATCGTCAGAAAAATATGCCCTTGTTAATCTTTACCCAGAAGACAAGCAAAAGGAAATTGATGAGATAAACCAGTGGATAAACGAGTAAATCATAAAGTCTTTTGTGATTTAATATCTAAAAATTGTGATTTGATATCTAAAAAAATCATAATATTTTCATGAGCCAAAATACAATGTGTTTTTCTATTTATAGTGATATCATTATGGGCGTTTATAAATGTGGGTCAGCAAAAGTCCAAGAAGAATACGACACACATGTTAATAAGTTGTTTAACAGTCTAGATAAGGTAACAATTTCTTTATAATTGTAATGATATTATAATGTTTAGCATTAAAATACAGATTTATTTTAGGACTTTGACTAAAATAAATCTGCATTATATGGTCAGCAAGGCTAGAGCTATTGCTCTTGGCATATTAAATGCTTTCGATAAAGTCTGGCATGTTTGGCATTCTCCAAATAGTTGCTTCATATGGTGTATCAAGGAAAGTTTTTAAGATTATTGAACTATTCCTTTCCAAATTTCAAACAAGTATTAAAGTCGTATTCAAAGGCCAATACTCCTTCCACAAGTAGTAAATAACTGGGGTCGTTATTTGACGGGGGTCAGATTTGATAAAATATAGCTACGGACAGGGCCGGGTTTGTGACTGGGACTGCATAAACATTTATAGATCCTAAAGTATAATTTTTTTATTAAAAAAATTAAGGTTATATTTTGTATATATATGTATATATAAACATCATTATGATCAGCATGATCATCATAGTCATCATTATCATCATCTTGTTCGGCAAATTCTACACCATACTAAAGTTTATACAAATATGAAAGAATATTGTATGCCAGCATCTAAATAAATAGCAAACATATATGTTTATATCCATAATATGTATGTATAAAGCGCATCTCAGAAGCTTTTATTCCTTCTGGACTAAAAGTTTGGAAGCTTTTGTTCCTACTCTTCAAGTCAAACCTCATTCTTCTCCATATTTTTTTCACCATCTTGAGCAGTTGCTTTATTCATCTTTTTTTTACAAGAGCATCTCTCTTAAGAACAAATGTCCTTTTATTATTCCAAGAAGCCAATTGTAAAAAGGTCCCTTCTGATGGTAAGCTCTGTTATTCTTAGTTATACTAAATCTTGTATCTTATATCAGATGTTAAGTTCTAGAGACTTTTTGTTAGTCATCAACAATGTCATTAACTAAAGTAAGTCTAACATTTAATCTTATTAATTATATAATATAGCCAGAGATTATAGCCATATAAGCATGACACATTGACCCCCTCCATTTACAAATGATCAAAACTACTTTACTACTACTTTAGGGTCTTATAATTTTATTCTCATTTTCAACATGTATCTCATTTCTTCTAGAACTATTTTTTGGATAGTTCTGTCTTAAAGATAGTGGTTTTTATTAACTTGTATCATATTAGAAAAAAAATATTAACCTCATCAATTTTGGAAAAAATCTCAAAATTGTTAAAATAACACTAAAATAAATGTAGCTGTTGTATTTTTCTATTTGTCAGCAGGGTAATTTTCTGGTTAGCTGCTGTTGTCTGTACTAAATGGGCAAAATATAAGATTGTATAATGTAAAAAATTGTTGCTGTTTAGAACTCAAATATATCTGAAAATATATTGCCCATTTGCTTAAAAAGTCAAATTTTCAGCCATTTTGAGATGCTTGTAAATTTTTCAAACACATTTTGTTGATCCAAGATAATAGCTTAAGACTATTAGACCCAACTATCTAAAAATGCAAACATTTTAACTTGTGTTCACAACAAAAGTAGGAGCATTTTTAAATAACCCTATTTTTCAATTATCAAGAGTTGAATACATTATTTAAAAGCAGCACCCCTCCCACCTGGGTACTAGCCCATGTTAGGGGTGCAACTAATTATAAGTTATTTCTTAATAAAAAGAAAGATATGGTTGATTGCCCCCTCCTTGATCTGTTCTTAATAGTAGATAGGAGCTTGAATAAAGGGGCAGTAAGTATTTAGAGACCTTCATTATTGTTTGTAATATGTAATTTATCATAATTTACACAATTTAGGAGTATTATATCTCAAAGTCAAAAACAATTTATATCACAACTTATACCAAAATAACACTGAACAGTTGTTTAAAAGACAATATATAAGGGGTATTGAAGAATTCTATAATAATAATAAAAAAAAGATTAATAAAGAAAAAAGTCAAAATTTGTTCTAACAACTTCAATTATTTGATTTGGTTTTTACTTTATAATTGATAATTATAAAGTAAAAACTATTAAAAGTTAAAAGTTTTCTTTTATTATAAAAAGTTAAAGTTTAAGAAAAAAAATCATAACACAAAAGCACATAAACTCAGAGAATAAAATGCTATATACCTGATGTTTTAAAAGTTTTTCTTTAGCAACTAAAAGCATGACTTTTGGTATCAAAATTTGATTTAAAATTGGAATTTGTTATTAATACCTCTTTTTACTGTACCACCTACTCCATCACATACACTTTTTCTATGTGCAATGCCATAAAAATGGCCATTTACTTTCAGTCTGCAGTCTTTTTCATAAAAACAAAGGTTTTTCACATTAAATCTATAATACAATAAGAAAATGGATACCTATTCGTATAGTGATTATTAATTTACTATCAAATTTGAAAAACACCAAGAGCTGAATAAAGTTGAATAATACTTTACTTTTATACTGCCTGTTAAGAGCTGAATAAAGTTGAATAATACTTTACTTTTATACTGCCTGTTAAGAGCTGAATAAAGTTGAATAATACTTTACCTTTTATACATCAGTGAAATAATGGATCATTTGAACTTGTAAATATTCTTCTTTCAGAGTCGGTATGATTTTTGAAACATACTAAAGACTCGGTATTGTGAAGCAGGTTGTCAAATATAATACAATAACATTTGGTTTCTAGGAATAGGTTTCCATTTAAAGCTCTCACATATACAACAAATGAATGAAATGTTGCCTGATTTTCGGAAATGACTGAACTTCATTCTGTATGACAAATAAAAAAATTTCAGCAAAATCCATATGTATAATCAACCCTTGGAATCAGAGTCGGCATTCGGAAATGCCAACCTAAAAGTGTTTGAGGTCGACGCAAAACTACCGACCTTGTTTCTATGTTTAATGGTGAGACCCTTGTATCAAACTTTTGAAAAATGAGGTCGGCAAATTATTGCTGACCTCATTTTTCCTAATTCCGAGGGTTGTATAATGTATTCATTTACTTTCAGGCTTTCTATGTGCTGTCTACCTTCAACTGTCTTTATGCTAATATAATTCTTTGCTCCTGGCAATAACTGCTATTACTATCATCCTCATAAAAGTTTACAATTTGCTTTGCCATTTGGGAAATCAATTTTTTCAGATTTCTTATGTCAGTTGACCTTTCACCAAAGAGGTCATTTAACAACTTAACTTTCTTTTCAGTTGATTATGCTGCAGAGTAACAGTTGTTAGGTTTCCTTTAACAATCTTTAAATGAATATTTTTAATCGAAAGAAGGTCACAGCATGACATACTGTATGATGACTGCAGTATGTATGTTTATGGCAATCTAACTTTAATTCAATGTCAATATAACAAAAATTCATGATTTTCTTCAATTTAAAAAATTTCATTGTGTTAATATTAAACCTACTCCTATATAACTTTGTAAATAAAATAGATCCAACGCATAAAAAGATACCAATAAATAATATAATGAGAAAAATTGCAACAACAAAGTTGAAAATACTTAACAGATTTTTATTTAGAGTTATAAATACTTATTTATATATACATTTGCAAAAAAGGTACATTTTATAAAATCTTTGAATTTTTAAATAAGATTAATCTATATTTAGAAATTGAAGGTCATTGACATTTACTAAATAATAATTATTCAAGCAAAATATGAAATCATAATTTTGTTGGTTTAATTCATTTAATTCTGCTTTATGTTGCCGTTAATGCCTGAATCCTTACCTGAATCTTAGCGATTTAATCACCTATAATAAAATAGATTTTAAATTTAATGCTTTCAATTTTAGGATTAAGTAAATTATGTTTAAAGTATCACATTTGAGCAATTACGCAGGGCACTAAATATTTACTACCCTTTTACCTTTTGTGCTCCTTTAACCTTTTGCACCCCTATCCAGTACAAAAACCAGATCAAGGAGAGAGTAACCAACCATGTTTTTATTAGGAATATGGGCCAGTAGGCAGGTGGGAGGACTTCTGATTTCCAATAATGCATTCAACCCTTGTTAATTCAACTTGTTTCTCTGCGCAGCGGCCTTGTTCGTCAAGGTTTATGTTTCGGAGTGTAATGTATTTTTAGATATTTTTAAGTTTTAAACAGCAACAAGTTGCTTATATTTTGCCCATTTATTGCAGACATTAGCAGCTGATCAGAAAACTAACCTGTAAAGACTTGATGATGTATAGAAAAATACTATGGTTACATTTATATGCAATTTTCAAATTTTTTCAAAAGTTTAGGAAGTTAAAAATTTTTTCTAATATAATACAAGTTAATAAAAGCCACTGTTTTTAAGACAGAAATGTAAAGACTTGCTGACTTAATCCAGAAAATAGTTATGGAAAAAGTGAGACACTTTTTGAAAGTGAGAAAAAAATTATGAGTCTCTAAATTAGTCTATTTTGACCATTTGTAAATGGAGGGAGGTCAATGTGTTGTGTTTGTATGGGTATAATTTCTAAACCGTTGTACTTGGAAGTCTAAAATTTTAAATTTACCCTTTCTACATAATGCAGATAATTTTATATAAAAATCAGAAAAATCAGGTATGTTGCCCCACAAAGTTGTCTTTATATTGGTTGAAATATAATTGACTCTATTAATGACTTGTTATTTTTTTAAACTAGTTGAAAATTTTTTTTTACAAATAAATAGCAATTAGTTTTTTTACCTTTTTGTGCATTGGTTAAAACAGTAAAGTTTAGCAAAAACATTAAAAAAATAAATTTAAAAATTGTCCAATATGCTGGCTAACAAAAGTCACGAAAAAATGGTATATCAAAAAATGTTTTTATTTTCATTATATTCTTATCTGCTTTTTTCCTCGACTTGCATCAATTTTGGTAGTGGAAAATAACAAATGCTTTAAAAAAGAAAACCAAAACAGTAAAATATTTAGGTACATTACTTTTTTGACAAAAATTTTCTTTTTAATTTTCAGTTTTTTTTTCTTAGTTATTTTATTTTCATTTTCTATTTTGTATAGTTTTTGTTTTCTTTCTTTGAGTA